AATTTAAAGGATTTAGTGGTTTACTATCTTAAATATCAAAATTTAATAATATTGAAACGTTTGGTACAGCATTACAAGTAGTACTCCATTTTGATATGTTGGGACAAGATCTTATATTCTTATAGTAACCGAAACATCTGGTAAGGCCCCTACTTTTTAACTTAAAAAGCATCCATTGAGATTTATTTATTTGAAATATGCTATATTAATTAAAAAGGGTCTGTTGGAAGAATATAGAATTCTTAAATCGCGATATAAATAAATGAAACTTATACTAATTAATACTAGACTATTCTCTTTATTTCATTTGCAGTATGATCTTAAGATCTTGCGCCCACTCATCAAATTACAGCTAGATTTGTTTTCCATTTTTCTCCATCCGTACTTCCTTGCTTTCTCCTCTTTTCTACTTCAAGGATCTTTATTCACCGTTTCTCTGAATTTATTCCTAAGTATTCCTCTTCTTTTATCCCAAATCTTACAATTTATTCCTTCATCTGTTCAGGATATAATTTGATGTTCTTCAGTTTTTGTCAAATATCTGTTTGTTTATCCTATATTTACTAATTCTTTTCTTGTGACCAAAGAATTTAACTTCTTTTTTTTATTATATGAAGAGGGGTTGTAAGTGATCCTAAGATGTTTTAAAAGGAGGTCTTAAAGGATGTCGATACTTAGATAAAAATTAGATAAAAATATATTTGTTAGTAGATGAAAATTGTTCGATTTTGATGATCACATTTCTTCTCGTTATCCGACAGGCCGTAAAAAAAATTATATTTCAAGCGAACAGATACATTCTTTTAACAACCTAGGATATATGTATATATATATTTTTAAATTCAATAGCTTCCTTTATTATATACACTATATTAAATAATGAAAAGAAAATGATTTCGAGATCTCCTTGGATGTAAATGAAGAGAGACTGGGAGTAGTTTTAGATGAAGCGGAGTAGGCGTAGCGTCCTCGAAAGGAAGAGTGGCCGGAGGAATGCGCGTCGTCACATCCTGTCCCGAGCTATCCCGTTTTAATAACTTCCGCTCGAAGCGCTGCCCTTGTCATCAACATGGCTGCCCTCTTCTCAATCCTACTTCCCATTTAGATTTTAACTTTAAGGATATTAGCTTCCTTACTATAATTCGTTTTGTTATTATAGTTGAAAGCTATCTGTAGTTGTATGGGTTCATAAGTAATCAAAACAGAATATTCCTCTAGATAGTTGTACTGGATTTAAATTTGTATTACACATGCCTATTTCAGGATGATTACATCTGATTAATTCAATAATACATAAAATTAATATGGAAAACAACAGAAACAATCACTAAAAAAATATATGACTATAGAAAGCGTTTTCAGTTTAATATATTAACATATTATGTTTTAAAGTATTCAAAGAAAACCTATTCGTTGCTTTACTGCGTAAAAAATACTTTGTCAGTTATTTTTTACATTGTGGGAAAAAATGTCTTCTTAATTTGACTCCAGTAAGATCAAAATTTCCTTAGTGTGTTTTCTTTATAAGGCGATCTAAAGGTATTTAATAAAAGGTGTGTTTTTCGTGTTTACAAACGAAATCGGCTACTCTTTGATATGTATAAATATATATACATATATATAAGCGCGTGTATTATGTTATTTAGTTAAGCTGATTTTTCTTATGCTTCACTTTCTGTTGGTGGTATTTGTGGGATGCCCAATTGCAGATTAAGATTTTTTTATTTTTAATAATTTAAATATTATTCTTGTCAGCGTTCCTAAATTTAGCAGTGTCTTATAATTTAAAAAGAGTACATATAGCGGTTGTTTAAGTTATATTTAGTTATTTAAGTAACAGTAGACGAAGGTCAATATTGGTTTATTTTGTTTATTCTAAGAACAACCAATTATAATTTGAACAGCAATAACAAAAACTCATGATTAAATACATGAAATATACTTACAAAATTCTCTAAACAAACAGTTGTTTAAAAATGTATTTTACTCATTTGATTTGGTAATATCAAGGGTTACAATATCTTAAAACTTTCTGGAGATAACACTTGTCTATTTTTCAAAAAAATACGTGTATACGTGTAAATCAATCCACTAGCTTTATCGGTTAATGGTTTTAAATTTAAAGAACGGTTTAAAAAATTGTAAGGTTCATTAATTTTCTATTTATCCACCGTTTAAGCTCAACCCATATAATGTAAGTGTTTGTATGTAATAGATTATTGGTTATAGTTATTATGAAGATCCCATCTAACCTTTTAATATGTAAAGCTTTATCAGATGTTAACAAGACCTATGCCAACACGTGTCCGTTTTTATTAATAGCACCTCCAATTGGTATTCAGTAGTGTGGGAAATGTACGGACAATAGCCCATAAAAAGACACATAAGCGTTATAAAAAGAAGAAAAAAAAAAAAACATTCTACTTGATTTCCAATGTCCTAATTGTTAAGGCTGTGCACGTTCGGGTAGAACCTCCCGGACAACGCTGCATCCTCTTAAACAAATCAGCCTTTAGTCAAAAGCTTTGAACGATTCCTTCAAACAACAGATCCATGAAGGATACAGGTGCTAACTAGATATTAAGCGTGGAGTTACGCAAGCGGAAGTATAGTGATAGGTGGGCCCGTTCATGAACCATAATAGAGCCATATTGACATGACCTCCACTTGTTCCGGAGTTGTCTACCTTAGTCTTCATTCTAGATTCTGGATTTAGCAATCTCTTTGGCCGAAATCCAAGCTGTTTTGTAAGACATTGTACAGAAACTTATATTATTAAGAATTTCATGTTTATCTTACTCTTTAATAAGTTCGAAATTGGTGTAAATCCAGCCCGGAGGACCATATTAATAATTTTTAATCTCTTTTAAATTTTAAATATCATTATTATTGTTATTAAAATATTGCGTAAATATCATAAATATGTAAGTTTACGTGTATTTTTTCAATATTTTGGGTTTAGCAGCAGTATTTAGAATAGAATAGAATAGAATAGAATAGAATAGAAAAATAATTTTATTCTGGGACGAAGTCCCTTCAGAATAACAAAAAAGTACAGAAATTAAAATTTTACATCTGGCCAGATAAAAACAAACATAACAAATTAAGATAATGATAAGTCATTAAAGAAAAGAAAAGAAAAAAATATTGGTTATACATACTATATACAAAATAAAATATAAAAATCTATATAAAAAACTCTTGAAACCATACTAAGATATTTAAAACTATGTACGATGTTAAAATATAAATAAACCCTTTTAGAAAAAATAAAAAATACAGAAAAAATAAATGTATATTCTTCTTAACAGTAAAATCTGTTTCTGTTGAAACAGAAAAAAAAAAAAAAAAAGAGAAAAAGAAAGTCGAATCTATAATAAGTATTCAGGTCATGAGCTATATGTGAATATGGTCTTATATATAATGTGTAATTTTACATAAAAGATTAGCTGGTGCCTGACTGTTTTTGGGACAGGAATTGGAATAGGAGGGTTTTGAATGTAGATAAGGATGAAGAATGTCGAATTTTGATTGGAAGGGAATTCCAGAAACTAACAGAACGTGCAATAAAGGAGTTTTGGAACGAGGCAGATCTGTGAGAAGGAATGTAAAGGTCGGAAGGTCGAGATCTTGTGGAGAGGGAGTGGACTGAGGACTTGAATTGGAGAAGGTTGTAGGCGTAGGAAGGACGATGATTGTTGATGATATGATAGAGGAATGTACCTAGGAAATATTGTCTTCGAATGGAGGGGAAGAGCCACTCTAACTCAGTGTAATGGTGAGAGACATGGTAGTATCTCGGGGCACCAATTACAAATCTCACGCAACTGTTCATTATTCTTTTCAGTCTGTCGCGGAGCTCCACCGAGAGTCCATCATACACCACACAGCAGTAGTCAAAGTGGGGGAAGATGAGAGAGGGAACGAGGAGTCTGCGCGTATGTTGAGGTAGGAGATGGCGGAAGCAATGGAATAGTTTGAGGGTAGAGACTGTCCGTCGGGAGATGTGAGAAATATGGTGACTCCAGGAGAGGGTTTGATCAATAAATAGTCCTAAATTTTTTACAGAGGAGTAGAAGGAGATTGGCTGGTCACCAAGGTTTAGTATGGGAAAGTCCGTATAGGATCTAAGGAGGGGCTTGGAACCAATGACAATGGCCTGTTTGATGACAATTTATTGTTTGATATCCATCCCGGAGGACCATATTGATATGTGTTGGTATTTAATTAAGTTTCAACATTGATGGTATTGTTATTGAAAGGTTTATCTTCATTATTTAAGATCATAACTCGGGGATCAGCTTTGAATAACCCGCATTTTTACAGAGTTTTTAATTTTTAATGGGAAAGTTAAATTTTAGCTATGTTACGAATCGGAAGAAACATATTTTTGGTGCATGGGAATGGACTCCCGTGTATGAAAAAAAAAGTTTCTGGAATTAGGTTGCACTTTACTGTTCTTGACTTGTATCTTTGAGATGAATATGAAGGAATTTACAAGTAGGATCTGTTGTTGATTCAGTATTAAATGCCAGACTTCTGATTTAAATATAATCCATTATTCGTACTCTCTTCCTGAATTTCTTGTTTTCCTATGTTTATGAATCCTAAGTATTCCTTCACCTACTTAATAACTAGATTACCTTTTAAATTTAGGCAATATTTATGCTAAGAATAATTATTTTAAAAGTTTTTTTTTAATATTAATTATTGATACATCATTGAAAAGTAGTTTTTTATATCATGGGTGATAGATAATCAGGAAGCACGTTTGTGGGTCATCATCAGGGCATGTTACCAGAATATTTTCAAGTACACTGTTAAGTGAAGGTCTGCGTCCTGGTTATCTATTACCCATATGTAGAACAGTTCTTCTTTCAATAGTTTTGCTGTAGATATATAGCCAAATAAGCTATTCACTCAGTATTTAAGCCTATCTTATGTATATGTTGTATAATGATATAAACGTTTTCTATATGATCCCGTTGTTGTTGTTGCAGGTAATGCAGTGAAGGCTGGCAGTGGACATAGACCGTGGATGGCCGATGCCCCGCAGCGGACAGGGCGGCGGGTGTCCCTCAGCGAACCCCGACCAGAGGCGGCCCGGGTGCACAACGAGTACCTCGAGGCCCCGCTCCCCCCCTGTCACCATGAGAACAACAACAAGAAGCCCTCGGCGACCCTCCACCAGCCCAAGAAGTCCGGGCCGCCACCGCCTCCACCCGCCGACTCCTCCATCATCTGCAGCGAGTGCGGCAAGTGCAGGTGCGAGTCCTGCCGGGAGCCGAGGCGACCGCCTTCGGCCTGGCTCTGCTCCGACTTCTGCTACTGCTCGGTCGACTCCTGCGTCGACTACACCTCGTGCCTCTGCTGCGTCAAGGGCCTGCTGTACCATTGCGGCCCCCGTGAGGACTGGGCCGACGACCCCTGCTCTTGCACGGGGAGCCGGTGGCTGGCCAGGTGGTCCTGCCTCGGCCTGGCCTCTCTCTTCCTACCTTGCCTCTGCTGCTACTGCCCGCTGAGGGCTTGCGCGGACGCTTGCGAGTCCGGTTACGCAGCCTGCACCCACCGCGGCTGTACCTGCCAAAGGAGGCTCCTGGAAAGCCCCCAACTCTCGTCACATTCCACGGTGTAGTGCGTGACTCCGGACTGTGTACATATCCATTCTAGGGCGTTTCGGTATAAAGGCCCTTAAGTGTCTACTCCTCCACGGACTTAATGGACTTATTAACTAATTGTTGGTAATGAAGAAAAAACAAAAATATAAAAAAAAAAGTGATACGCACTTCACAATTATCTATGTTTCAGTATATTTAAACAAAAAATTGTTATAGAGCAAGGGTCTCCAACCTTTCTGGCCCACGGCTTGTGATGAAAATAAAAATCATATTTCATAAATTACACTTTGTTTTAAGAGCAACAACTCATACAATATAGTAACCAAATATTTCAGTAATTTATTAACTCATATTTTTTTTACCAATATTGGATGTAATAAAAAAAAATACCGTGGGCTATAGTTTGGAGACCCCTGTTATAGAGGACAAGTCGGTTCCCTAACATTTATTAACTGTTTTTTCCAATTTTGTATCACTTCGGGGGTTCTGACCAGAATAGAATCTCACCATGTTAACGTAGCATTCCTGGTTCGGAACCCTTGAAAAAACTGACTGCTTGCATTTTAAATATTTATTCGCATTCCTCATAAAATCAGTCGATTTGTCCTAATCTATTTACCATTACAGATTTGTTTTTTAAAAATAGTCGAAAATATGTTGATTTACTTCGAATGATAAGGGATTGGATGTTGTTAGCCATGAAATGGTCGTTTGATACAGTATTATCTAGTCTATTGAATTAATTTTGTAATTTTGAGAGTGGACGTTATCATATAATATTATTATTTCTGTATATATCAGTAATATCCTAGGCTGTTTTGTTGTTTCAGTGAGTCCCACTGGCCATAAAGACTACTCACGTAAATTATTATTTTTGTTTCCATCTTTTGACATTTTGTATTCGATATTATTATTATTTATTACTTTGTAATTTATATTATTAAATTATTACCATTGCCAGTTATTTTTTATTATTATTTTTTTTTTTATTTGAATTTATTACCTCTTTAAAAGTTCCCGATGGACAATGGGACTCGAAAAAAAGTGTACATTTGTACTGCTTATAATTATTGTTGCAAACAAATTTACAAATAACTCACTCGAATAGATTGTTACCTTTCGAAACATCACAAAAATTTGTTCAATGAATGATTAGTTCGTATCAGGGTACAAACTTTGCCCAATATATAAATATATATATATTTTCTAATACGCTATATTATTATAAGAAACTAATTTATTAAATAAAGAAAAGTTTGTACTCTGATACTATTATTATATTCATTTGGTAACAATTTATTTATTACTGAAGTCATGTATGTTATGCTATATTAAACAGCATAATCGTTATTGTATATACCCTATAAATATATAAATACATATAAATAAATATATAAATATATATATATAAATAAAATAAAATGTAAACATGTAAACGTTAACAAAATATATTAAATAACAGACATTTAATTTATTTATCATGTTGTCTTTATTTCCTGATCCAGAGTTCATTTATTAATTTAACTGAAGTAAATTTTTAAAAAAAAATTATTATTTTTTTATTTATGAGTATTAATTATTAATAATGAAAGAAATGCAGCCTAGCTACTAGACTGTACAAGGCTTAATAGAATACATTAGGTGGTTGAATTATATTGTTGACCACACAGTTGAAGAATATTCTGAGAATTTGGTGCCTTTATTAATGGTTGCCTCATATGCATAAGCTTAGAGACAAATATAAGAAATGAAAAATTGGTATAGAAAATACCAATGCTAAATGCTAAACAACACTATCTGTATAAATAGCAGATATGTTGAATATTAAAACGCTGATATTGAAAATAGATTCAAGTAATTATGTATTAAATTTAAAAACATAAAAAAAAATCAAGAATTAATCAGTATAATGTTTCGGAAATCTTTTTTTAATATGAAAAGAGATATAAGGGTTTTTGTCTTGATCATCACAAACACAATAAAATTATTCAGTTAATTTTCATCTAAAAATTGAAGTTGATGAAGAGAGTTTATTATGACAACTTTTAATAATTTCAAGAAGAGAAACAAAGTGTTAAGTTTAAATTTCTCAATACATAATCTTATAATTTTAATTACATTTACAGTTTCACTACAATTCATCCACACTATATAAACTAATTTACAAATTGATTTCAAACTCTAAGAGCTTATAACATTCGTCATTTAAGATATACAGAAATGAATTGATAATAATGAAAATCAATGTATTTATATTTTGAGTATCATTTATTAACTAAAAAGATAAGATTTTAAAAAGGTATATCAATAACCTCAAACTGACACAAGAGAAAAAACAATCCATTTTTAATACAATAGAATTCTGTGTTGATTGCACTGCAACATTTGCGGATCCAGGGTTTAATTTTGGGGTGCTTTAACCCGAAAGCTTTTTTTTTTTTTTCATTTATATAATGATAATTATTTTGGGAAAAAAGAAAGATACTCTCTACATAAATGTTGTTTAAGTGATTCTTGAAGTCCTATTAAATGTAATTACACGTACAATAATACTTTAATTGATAATTTTTTAGTATTTTTTTCCATAAAACATGGTTACATTTTATTATTTCTCCATTTCATATAAAATATGAAAATTATATGAAATGAAACATGCAGCAAATATTCAATAAATTATTATTTATTCAACTAATTGATAATGAAGATAATATTCGAGTGAAGTAAGATGAAAAATTAAATGTGGATTCTGTTCCAATATACATTGAAACTATTTAAGATAACCTACTTATTAATAAAGAATTGTTGAAAATAGATTATACTGTTAATTATTGTAAAACTATTAGTGGGGAAAGAATTGAAACTTAACTAAGATATTCAATTTTTGGATATTGCTTTAAACGGTTATAGTTATTTTGAAGAGACTGGAATTTTGAAAAATAGCTAAAATACTATAAAAATTACATCCCTTCAAGAGGTATAGGCAAATTTGTATCTAATTGTATGGACTAAAAATGACTAAGAGATTTAATGCTTTGAAGATAGGGACAAGTTCATGGAAAATTTGAATTAGCAATGGCATTATGAGAATAATTATTATAATATGCTGAGTTTAGAAATGACCTGCTGTATTCCAGTGGTAGGTATGAAAAAAAAAAAAAGATAAGAAAATACTTACCTAATGATTTGTTTGATTTTCAAACAGAAATAAATATAGATAGAAGGTAAACTGAATACAAATAAGTATTGTTGATAGAGAAATAATATCATTGAGGTTATAATAAGGTTACATCCAACAGATCCATCGGCACTAAAAACCATCAAGTGATTCAATGGACAAATAATGTTCTCAGGATTCCATCGATGTGTTTAGGAATGGTCTGATGCACTTCTCCTGCCATTAGCTTAGGAACTTGCCCTATGTTGACATTAACGAATAGCAGGTTCTATGATATGCGCTAAATTTTGACTAATATCAAACATGATCAAATATATTCCAAAGGTTTGTTAGTAAATTAAGAGAACAATATTTAGTCATGTAAAATCGGTCTTGAATAAAAAAAGAAATGAACTAAAATCTGTTCTTTATCAAGGTAAGTAAACCATGAAAAGTCATAGAAGATAATGAAAATAAAGTGATTTTTTTTAAGAAGCATTTTTATCACAGTCCTTCCTCCTCTATTTATATGAACAGGTAAAGTTGCGTTTAAACATTCTACAAACTATGGGACAAACAAATATATAAATTCATGAAGTAGTTTCATTTTTATTCATTAAGTAGTGTTTTTGTTTCTTATTTGTGATGTTTTCCATCTGCTGTCGGTAACAAGATAAATAAAAAAAAGTTGATCTTATGTTCGCAATTAATTGAGTTATATAATAATGTTTTCCATATTTGGGAAACGTCTAAACGCACCTTAAAAATACAACAAACAGAAAAACAGGGATTAAACTACATGAAGATGTATATGGGACATGGTCCTATAAAGTGTCGATCTATTTGTCGCGTTTTGTAATTAAATAGTAATGAAATTCACTAAAAATCACCTTATCAATAAAATAATTGCCTTTTGACCTTTCCTATTAAAATATGTTTTTAAGTTGCACAGGAACATGCTTAATTAATGAAGCATATATATACAATAAATATATATACTTAAGAAAACGACACTAAGAATGAATGACATATTAAGACTTGAAAAACTCGTAAAATAAAAGTTGTAGAGCATCAAATTCCGCATCTACTGAATACTAACAGTTTTAATGTGGGTCTTCTGCTCTGATCGAAATCGGTATTGAATAGCAATAGCTGGAAATTGGCAATGAAGATATCTGAGTTTTTAATACTTCAACAGTTTGGGTGTCTATTCTACTGAATTATTCTTGTTAAGAGTCTAAGTCTCTTTTCCACCTCTCAGCAGCAGCAGCGATTTTGAGAAATGAGGTGCAATAAAAATGAATTTCATAAAGAAATAACGAATTCCGATGTGAGACATATAATTGATCTTGAACATTGAAACTGTTAGTACTCAATGAATGCAAAACTTGTTGCTCTACAACTTTTATAATATAGGTTTTTTTTTTCTCTTAGAGAACTTATTTCCAAGCTGCAGGACCATTAATAGTAATTAGTCTCAGTTTTTGATGGATTTGGTAAAATCAGCAGTGATCGACCGTGGTTATCGACCATACCACTTAACCAAATCATGAAGTTTAGGTATTCGTTCGACGCACAATTTAACGTTCTGTAATTTTTTTAAGACTACGTTTTGCGCTTTTATGCACCCTTTAAGAGTTATAGGTGAAAAAAGAAAAAAAGAAAAAAAAAATTGGCTTTTTGGCTGTAAAAAGTTTTCCCTCGGTGGCCCGCCTTAAAATTTTTCCTTTTTACATGTCTGAACTCACATATACAAGTTAAAAAAATAAAAAATTTTCCCAAATTTTCCGTTTCGATCGTTACTGGTCTAATATTCTTTAAATCAGCCGCCATTGTTACAGGTAGATTCGGAAGATTCGATCGGCAGACTTTTATTTTGTAGTATAAATGTTATAAACATTAAAAAAAAAATGCTTTTAAAGTTCTCATTTAATAATGTATTTTTTTCTCAGGGGGGCTTGGAATATATGCAGTTCTGATTTTTAGTTTCTGAAGATATTTTAATCGAAATGCAAAAATTAGTTGACTCGAACTTTTACCCTAATAAAAACCAATTAATTTCTTATTTGTTATTTTTATGTATAAATAAAAAAAAATCTCAATAATTATACATTTTACAGTTTTTATCAAATAATGTATTTTTTTCTCAGAAGCTCTCGGACTAATACTGTAAGCGAGGAAAATGTTTAGAATTTCATCTTTTTTTTTTTATATAAAAACATTTATACTTCATACTATTTATCCCTTCTTGTTGGTATTTTCACTGCTATCGTATGGTCTGTCTTAGTTTTTTTTTATTAGAAATTATGCTTTCAAAAATGTACATGTCAGAAAAATCTCATATTACTTTCTTTGAGAAAGTAATAATTCTCAGATTTATTTACCGAACTACATCCTTCAAATTCCTTCAGGGTAGAGACTCTAGAAGATAGCACTATCTTCCGGAGCATTCATGTTTAACTTATGATAAAAGGAGACAAGCGGTTACACAATTTCCAATGTATTTGTTCTGTACTGACGAAACGGGACATAGAAGACAGTAAATATAATCACGATCAGCACACCGACTCCTTGTCCAACGGACAGGCCATCTGGTTGAGGAACTGGAAGAGAGTTCTTGTCGGCCTTCCGGTCATCAGCCCCTTCCGGAGGTAAATCGGCGTCCCCCCGGACTCCATACCCGTCCCCATCAGGTCCATGTGGACGAAGTCAACCGGCGGGGCGAACTCCTACAAACCAATCTTTATAGGACTTTCTTATAATATATATATATATATATATATATATTTATAATTGTGGGTTGATGGTTGACTGTCGTGAATAATGAAGAGAAGGATGGTTTGGGTGATCAGTCAGAAATAAAATGGAATAAGTAAATAATAATATTTATTTTAACATTTGCCGACGTTTCGACTTGAAGTCCAGGCCTTCATCAGGGTTGTTCGAAGTGATTGCTTTAATAGAGTGACTCTATTCGACTCTGTTCAAGCAATCGCTTCGAACAGCCCTGATGAAGGCCTGAACTTCAGGTCGAAACGTCGGCAAATGTTAAAATAAATATTATTATTTACTTATTGCCATTTTATTTCTGACTGATCACCCCAACCATCCTTCTCTTCATTATATATATTTATATAGTTTTAATTTATTTAATAATTTTTTTTTTTGTAAACTGCTTTTATCAAGTTATCTTATATGCTATTACAATAAAAGACGTTTTGGTAATTATGTAAAAAGATATAATTTCTACCATATCCAGAAGAAGTAAATTAAGTATAATCAATTTCTATTTTTAAAAAACTTATATAAGTACGCAGAATCATAGAGCCTCGTCTCGTATACATACGTACAAGTAAACCCACACCATAGGAACTCCGAACCAAGCATTTCGAGTCGGGGAGTACTTTTATAGAGAAAAACCAGAACTCTAGGAGATCCCACAATCTCAACCATGTCGCTTGTATTAATAATCCGTTGTACAGACCCCTTTTTGTCATAGTATTAATAGCCGCCAAAATTTATGTTGGTGCACTAAAAAAGTTATTATTCTCCAATTAGTAGCCTCCAATCATTTTACAGAAAATATATATGTTAGGGCCTATAAGAGGAGCTTCAAAAATTGCTGATATAAACGAATACAAACATATTTTTTATATTATATTATATTTTTTATTTAGGAGGAGGGGAGTGGAGCAAACATACCACGGTAACTAGAAAATTGCAAAATAACGATATTGAGAACCCTATGAGAGGGCCCTTAATCATTCTACGGCTATTGAAATGAATAAAATATTTTTGTTTTGGGGAGGGAGAAGCTCGTCGGAGGGGCCCCAAAAAATCAGGAAAATAAACGAAAGAAAACAATCATTTCGGGCGTAACTAACACATTTTTATCTTTCTTCATTTTTATCTATGGAAACTATCAAAAATGAGGCGAATTCAGAATTTAATTTGCGAATAACCCATATTTATTTGAAAGCTTTCTGAATTCCCCAATAAATGAAAAAAAATAACATCAAAATCGAAAAGAATTATGTTCGATAAAATATTTTGTTGCATATATATTTATTTTTATATTTTCTTCGGTTTATATTTTTTAGGATGGTTCTATTATGACTAGTTTATTTTTGTAAGCTATATGAGCAATATCGAAATGAAACGATTTTTGTAGTGGGCCAAAGGAGCCAAGTAGTTACAAATAATTTTTGCAGCAGAAACAAAATTTAGATTGTTTTTTCGCAGCTGGAAAAACCCTCAAATAAGAATTCTTCTTCATAATCGAAAAATAATTTTTTTTTTTTGGCTCGAATGTTCGCTGACTGAGGAAAATGAGTTCAAATATTTCTTTAAAAATATTACGATGGATTCACAATTTTTTTGCCAATAAATCCCATTTTACACGGTCAATATTATGGATTGAATATCGAATATATTGACCGCCTGAAAAATATATTATAACAATTATATTGGCATTTGTACTATGCATACAGGCATCTTGTAAGGTGGGCTTAACTCAAAAAGTAAACAAACGGCACTGCACTGATTTCTTTTGTAAGTATGTATAAAAGTGGATGTACTGTGAATATATAATAGTAGAAACATTTTTGAAACATGTGAATTCATTCATGATTTCCTCAAACATTCATTAATGGATTACAGTCCAATTTCGATCACTGGTATAGGTAATTATGCATTCAATGATAGGATGGATTTAAATTTTTGTTTGCCTATAAAGTCCACCTTATACCGTCAATATTATTGATTCAATATCGAATATATTGACCTCCTAAGGAAAATATTGTAACGATTATATTGACATTTGTACTATGCATACAGCGTTCAAGAATATTGTTTCAATAATATTGATCTTGTAAGGTGGGTTTAACTCCCAAAATAAACAAATGACACTGTACTGTTTTTGTTTTTTGTAAGTACATTTAAAAATGAATATATAAGAGTAGAAACATTTTTGAGGCATGCGAATTCATTCATGTTTTCCTCGAATGTTCATTAATGGATTACAGTCCAATTTCGATCACTGATCAATGATAAGGTAGCTGTAACTAACCTTATTGTCGATTAATAGAAACAAAATGGCTACTCACGCTCAAGAAGGCAGCTCCTAGGCACGGAGTCGCACCCCGGCCAGCGCCGACGTTGTGTACGTCGACTCCAGTATGACCTGCAAAACGACATTCCCTCAATACGGTCTTAGAGTTCAACAACGGACTACGCTACTTCTTTAATCAATGGTACTTCTCCCATACCCTTCACTCTGTTCCTAAAGAAGTTCCAGAGAGGCATCCTCCACACTCTGTCTCCAGTGTCCGCTCCAGCTTTGGCCAGCTCTCGCCAAACGGTGTCAGACTCTGTGAAGGTGCCCGTCGCCGAAGAACCTAGCGCTGTACGTATCCCCTCTGTAAAAGTTTCAATCTTACTTGGGTATGATATATTACTAATATATCATACCCGATATAAACAATATACTCTTCTAAAGCCTAGTAAACACAGGTTGCGCGATTTTGGCCTCTGAAAAATATCTCAATTTGTCTATGTAAACATGCCCATAAACCAATATCTGTCTGCAGGCCTGTTGCGAGACCAATTATGCTGTTGGGAGACATTATGCAACCGAGTCGTTGGTTCGGCTGTTTACATTTATTTTCTAAAATATTTCAGTTCTTTAGAAAACTTTTGGTCTTAACGAGAAAGTTTCAAAACTAATCGAAGATTACCGTGGCAAGTTTTAATTTTTACTTTCACTTACGTATATATATAATATACAGTAAGTGTAAGTATTGCGATCGAGAAAACTTTTGAATCTGAGTTTTCTACGGATTTATACGTTTTGAGGTACCCTGAGTCGAAATGACCAAGTCCCGACAAATGGTCTGTGTGTCTGTGTGTTTGTATGTTAGCAGTCTAGCTCAAAAACGAAAAGTCCTATGAAACTGATATCACGTATTTAAGATAGGTATATGCCTTAGTTGTGACGGCAACTTTTTCCTTAAAATCGGCTAACCGGAAGTGCCACTTTATATCAACGATGAAACACATTTTCACAGTTTTCTCAAAGACGGCTCTAACGATTTTGATTAAACTCGGTGTATCATTGTATAATTAAGTGGTCTTTAATATCAATTAGGTCTTATCCTCATTGATGTCACTTTACTGGGCTTAAATGTCCAATGTTCATATACGTCTTCCTCTAAAGTACCTTTAATATGGTTTATTTTAAAAAGTTAATTATTTTGCATTATTCAGAGTTACGAAGAAATGCTAAATATAACTTTTGAAAGAATTTGATGAGTTAATAAAGGAGAAAAATGCAGAAAAACGTAGCTATAGGCTGTAGCGCCTAAACGAATGTACCGATTTCATTGAAACTTCGCTAGTCATTTTCTCGAAATCCTTCAAATTTATTTATATAACATACTTCAGCGAAAAGAAGCTAGAAAAAAAGTTACGAGGGATGGTAAAATTAAATTCCGAATAACTCAAAAAGTATACACTTTTTTGGGAATATTGTATATGGTTTTCTAAAAGTTTATGGAATAGCCTAAAAAACAAAAAAACAAATCGTTAAAATCGGACAATTAGGAGATAAGAAATGGTCTCTAGTTTTTTTTTTAATACGTTCTGCTGCAATGGTTATATCCTTTGTTTCGGTTTTTGAATTTTAAATGTGTTAATAAGGTAATGCTAATTTTTTTAGCATATTACTAATGATTATAAAGAAAAGTTTAGTCCATTAATTGGAATCACCTTTTATTTATTTTTCTTTGTAACTTGGAAGGTAATGTTACTTTAGATGTATAATTGTTTGTAAATAATATACCATTGCGAAATAATTATCAAAAAATATTTAGCGAAAGAATGCTTAATATAACTTTTGAAAGAATCTGATAATTGAATAACGGAAAAAAAAAATGCTTATACAGTTCGAGTTATTAAATTAATATATATCTAATAAGGATGTATTTTGAGCTATAAAAATTGAATTAAAATTAGTTTGCAGGATCTTGAAAATGGCTCCTGAAGCCGAATCGTCGCATAAATAATACAGGATGTAATGACTGTGTAAATTTGGTGATCTTTGGCCTAATATTTTATAAAAAACTTATGATAAAATGGCACCGACACTGAATGGTATGACTAGAAAAATAATATCTAGTACTGTGTACTAGGCTTTATATTATAGAAATACGTTTGTACTTAAAAAAACGTAAGAAATCTCTAAATTTCTATTATTTATAATTATTTTTATTTAGCCAGTGAGACCGATAAACGGCAGTGAGATATACGGCATTTGAGACCGAGACACTAACCAGCACCATATAAACAAGTATACACGTATAAGGTAATGTTGCCATAAGCATTCAACCATTTGAAAGTAAAATACTCTGTATGATAACTGGATCAGTTAGTATGACATGGAGAAGACCAATAAACAACAGCTTATAGAAATATGTTACAAAAAAACAAAAAACCATAGGAGATGAAATTGATTAAGAACTTTGAAGAGGGAATTTCGATGTGATCACCTAACGGATGGAACACTAAACGAAAATCGGATGTTTTAAAAAAAAAAAAAATAAAACTATTTGCATTACTATTTATTAGTAATATATCGAACTATAAATAACCATATATATATATATATATATATATATATATATATATGTAATTACCAGTCATGGTGGCGAGGTTGACAGTAAGACAGGGGTTGAAGGCATTGGCATGCGACAGTGTGTCTGCCATGATGACCCTCCCTTCGTGGTCTGTCTGCTCCACCCGGATCGTCTTGTTGTTCATCCCGACCAGGACGTCTCCCGGTTTTATCGAGGCTCCTCCGGGCATGTTCTCCATCAGTGGAACCAGAGCTGGCAGGCAACGGAGGATCAATGTTAAAATAAGCCTAGCTTAGTTATTAGAAGCTATAAAAAAAAAAATACATATAATAGCTCTCTATTATATGAATTTTTTTATAGCTTAATCGTGTACAAAGAAGAAACTACGAGATCTTAGTCAAAAAGTCCAGGACATTTTTTAGTAGTTGCCATCTTCCGGAACATAGATGTCGATTTAATTGCTCCCCTCCCCGTCCCAGTGGTCCGAAAAGGAAAGGCGGCAAAACCCTGAGAAACTTTTAATTCAGGCAAGATATCTGAAAAACGGAATGTCGGACCTTCTGAATCGATATAGACTAAAACTATTTAGTTATGAAAAATCACCATTATTATTGTTAATATTTTTACCAATAAATAAAATACATTTTATTATATTTTTTTCTATTAATTTATTTATTTAGTATAACAACAATCTGTCACATGGACAGTAGTTATAGTGAGGTAGGATAACATTCAAACTATATGCACAAAAAATATAAAATAAATAGAAACAAAATAACAATAAATAATAATCAAAAAGTATGCACAATAAATAAAATAAAATAACATAAAATTAAAACTAAACTCCAGGAGAACCCTGCGCTACTCTCTCAACCACCTCACTGGTATACGTAATAAGTTGCAAAAATGAAAATATACTATATGTTATTATATAATACCTAATCAATTATAAATATCTATCACCTATATTAATATCACGGGGACAAAGATAGACCCAGTTTTGCCCATTCCCCCCCCCCAAGGTCGATGGCGCAAAAACTTACCTTTCCTCCACTCCTCCCAAAGATATTTTATTGCTCACCTTTCTTAAAAACAGAGCAAGCTAAGACAGAATTAGAAATATCGTAGATCATATAAAAATACACTTGCTGCGGTCATTTCTCATGTTACCCTCGTCCATTAGTCCGGAAAATCACAACCCCGTTGAACTTGGTCCTCAAAAATTTAAAAACAGGTCAAAATATGATATGCCCCCTTCAAACATTTTTATGGCGCGACTTGAGCTATGAAATCCCCTTCTGGACACCCCTGAATAGACCTAAAAAAAAATCAGAGCAAATAAATCTGCAAGTAAATGAAGATATAATAATATACATGGTAGTGAGTTAATATCCCAGAGTATCAATTTTGAGCCATACAATTTTTTTAATTTTTTCCTTCAGTTTTTTTCCCTATACTTGTTCTTCAGTTTTCTATGATAGAAAGGAATAAATTATATTTAATTTTCTTTGCTTTAGAGCCCAGATAACACGAAATGGCTCAAACCGGAAATCCATAAAATCAAAGTTTTAAATAAAAATGTTTAATAAAGTTTTCTTCATAAAATAATAAAATCTAAACGTTATTTATAAGGGTAGAAAGAGGATTCATTCAGTTTTCCAACGGTAGTATTAAAGTTGAATTTGATGAAAATCTTGAGGTTTATTTAGCTCCGAGAATAACTCATCCAAAACATTTTTTTTTTTTTTTTTTTCAGTAATATAACATTTTGTCACACTGACAATAAATATAGTAAGGCAAGAACACATTCACACCATATATACAGAAAACAAAATACACATAAGCAAAATAAAAACTAAATAATAATAAAAAAAGTATATACAATAAATACAAGCAAAATAGATGAGAAGTTGGTTGGAATGTTCAGTAAAAAAATAAATTTCAAGCCTTCATGAGGGCTTATTCAATAACAACTTAAAGATAAGTAAATTAAAAGACCATAAGAAAACACCGACAATAAATTAAAAAAACACATACTATAAATAAAAGAAACACAGGCAATACATTAAAAAACAAAAACACAAACCATAGAAAATCAAGTACTAAATATTGTAGTTTTTGATTCCCATAAGTATTCATAATTTAGAGTTTCAAATGACACTAAAAACAAATCTAGGATGTATTATAACTAATTTAATACTGCCAGTTATTTTTTTATTGTTTTTTTAGGGAACAAAAAATAAATAAATAACATAAAATCTTTTTGAAAATATATAATTTTTTTTTCTCAGGTTCCATAGTTCAAATGGTTTTTAAGTGATTCTTGAAGTCTATTAAAATGTAATTACGCGAATGTTTAGAGATAATTTTTTGGAGGGAGGAGTAGTGTTGCCCAAAATGCAAGACCAAGACAAACACCGCCTATCTGTTGCAAGACCAAGGACTGGTAAAAAAATCGATTTGTTTGAATAAAAATTGAGGCAAAATAGTTACTAATAACTGACAATTTTAGTTACTATATGTAAAGAATTCGTGAAACTAATATACTTTTGCATTTAACTCTTCAAATTTTTTATTCAGACTTAGTTAGGTTTCTCATATCTAAAAAATTACAGTAATATCTCTCTAGTAATAAGCTTATAGATAACTGCAAGACTGTTACGAGAGTTTTGCGCAAGACCTAGACCAAGTCCGAGTTTGCAAGACCAAGACTCCTCTTGGTCTCGCATTTGGGCAACACTAGGGAGGAGACTTCTGCCCAAAAGCCCCCCTCTCCTCCTGTGGTCTTGTGTTTCGATACATAAACATCAAATCAGTAACCCGCAGTCTGTGACGTCCCCTTTGAGTTGTTAAGAGCTTTGAATTTTGTCGTTCATGAATTTCAACCAAGTTTTTGAATGGATCAAAATAAATTTTACGAATGAAAATGGAAATGGACAAAATTCGTTTCGACCCGTAGCTATTACCCCAGGTGCTAGTACAGGTACTTGGATATCCTACCATTGACGTTGATCGGGATGCCCAGGGCCGCTAGGGTCCTGAGCAGCCCCACGATGACGGCCGCCCCCGCCATGTCCGCCCGGAACTCATTCATCCCCTCGCACTTCCTCAGGCAGAGGCCGCCGCTGTCGAAGGTAACTCCCTTCCCGGTGATCACCACCGGCTTGTCCCCTTCGCCTCCTCCGCAGTAGCTCATCTCCAAGAAGAGGGGCGGCTCGCAGGAACCCTTCGACATGGTCAGGAAGGCGAGGAACTTCTTCTCTTCCAGCCAGTCTCTGTCCCTGATGTCTACGTGGACTCCGCATGGGCACAGGATGTCCAAAGCTGCCTTTGAAAAATAATCATCATTCAATTCTTACCGATACCGTAAATAATAAAATAAAAAATACTGTTGTTGTTTTTACACAAAAGGATTTATGCAAAGTACCCGCCATAAATGTTACATCACTTGTGCTATTATGCATAAAATAATAACATGGTATAATATTGGCATATTTCAATCAATTCACAGTTATGTTATTTGAGATGAATTAAGTACACAACATCGTAAAGTAAACAACATTTTCTTAGAGTAAACAGTGATTTACTAAGGTGAATGATAAAAGATACTGTCACGAGTTCTAATAACGCAAAGCCTAAAATTATCATGAATCGGGATTGCAGAGATATGCTGCTCGGGTGTGGCTACTATAACTGCAGTAGTACAGCGGACTGATACCATATTAGTCTTCCCAACAAACCTCCATCATCACCCCTTCAATTAACACGAGGTGTTCCTCAGGGTTCCTCACTCTCCCCGACCCTTTTCTCTATCTATATTAGTGACCTTACTGACGCCATTCAACACTCCAATTACCACCTATATGTCGACGATTTCCAAATATACCAATCATTCCAACCTTCTGAGATGCCTGAGGCTGCCCGGAGGCTGCAAGAGGACATCGACTGCATCAACAGATGGGCAGAAATAAATGAATTAAAGCTGAATGCAGATAAAACCAAGGCTATTCTCATCGGGTCCAGACATCTCATTAGCTTCCTTCCTTACTTTCCTCTACTTAACCTCAATAACCGTCCCATCCATTTTTTCCCTACAGCCAAAAACCTAGGAGTAACCATTTACCAGAAGTTCTCCTGGAATAACTATATCTCCCAGATTAGCCGAAAATCAATAACTGCCCTTAAACAACTCCCAAGATTCCGTGATTGTATTCCTCTAAAAACCAGACAGCTCCTTGTAACCTCTCTTGCATTCTCCCACTTCGACTACGGCTTTTTAATGTATACAGGGCTATCTGCCAGGCTGGAAGTGAGACTAAAGAGACTCATGAATTGTTTCATAAGATACATTTTCGGGATCCCCAGGCGTTCACATGTTTCACTCTGGTAGACCGAGTTGAAGTGGCTTTATCCTACTTCCCGACGACAATTCCTCCTTGGTGTTTTCCTTTTCCAAGTCTTCAGAACCAAAAACCCTCGCTACATCCTGGAACTCCTTACTCTACGCTCCTCTATCCACTCTCTCAATACTAGGTCTCAACCTATAGACTTATATATTCCCTCCCATAAAGCTTCCTTCTTCAGCAAATCTTTCTTCGTTCGTGCTGCTTCCTTATGGAACTCACTTCCTACCTCAAACAATTCCTGTTCCAACACCTACTCCACATTCATACTTCCCCTAACATGTTAAATTACTTGCATCTGTACACTGTTTAATTTCAATCTATTGCACAATTGAAATAACAATTAACAGTAAATTAGTTTGTATTTTTATTATTAAGTCAGACTAAGAACAATAAATTTGTAACACTGTTATTATTCTTAGGAGGCAGTAGTCCCAGAATAAAATTATCTTTTCATTCATTCGTTAGTCCTCCTAAAAGTCCCTTTTATCATTGATCTTAGGAAATTTAATCAAAGTTTTCTCAAAGAAAGTTATGTCTAAATGAATTTTTTGTTTGAAATTTTGTCTATAATCACCCTCCAATATATATATACATATATGTATCCTTTTCTCTCTTGCCCCACAGACATCTTAAAGAGAAATAGAAAACGTAGACGAAAAAATGTTTTTTGTAGAATATTTGTTACCTGGGAGAACGCCACGGGCGTCATAATGTTGGCTGGCACCTCAGACAGCCGTCGAGCTATGTTCTGCCCTTCTCCCTTCTGGATCCCTCGAACCCAACCTTCCCTGATCAAAGCGGAATTATTAATAATTATTTAATTAATTAATTAACATTATTTTATCCTTTCAGTTGACGGAATGAATAACTCCAATTAACATGTTTCAGTAAAGTCATTTTAGTGATATTTCTAGTAGGAAAATTTATAATATCTGAATAGACAGTGAATAAATTGATTCCTGAGAAGGTATGTGGCAGTTTTGAAGTATACAGTTAATTTTCTGACTAGAAATATCAATAAAATTAATAATAAAACAATGTTGAAATTAAAGTCTGTCAGCTGAAACGCTCATTTAATACGTTAAAATATTTTCCGAATGCGCGTCGAATAATGCAATTTTTTATGCGTACTATTTTGTCACGTCCACAAGCCTAACTGATAAATATTAAGATAATATGGAGACAAAAGATGGAACATAGGAAAGACTCATAGTATAAGACAACAACATCATGGTTTAACATCTTTTCAACAATAAGAATTAAACAACAATTATCTAGATAAAATATACTTGTTTACTTAATAGATTTATAATTCCTTTAGTTAGTTTATTGCACACCGTTTTGCATATAGTTTAAAAGAGATCCTGAAGTTATAGAAGATAAAATAATTTTGAGTTTGCGTACCAGTACCAGGAGATAGGGGAGCTTTTAACTCTGGCATTATAGTCCAGTGCAGTTAAAGAAAAAATCTGGTGCGCGCAACAGACAACTTTCACTTACCTCTCTTCTTTGAATAGAAATTATTTTCTGGCAATGTCGAGCAATTATAAAATTTTTGAAGTGCATTTTTAACCGATCTAAAACTTGAAGCTTATAGCTAACAAATCATTAATACAATTAAAAGAACAAAAATCCTATTTATTATATCAACGATTATGAATTGTACGATCCGTTGGTTATGGATTGCACCGCTATTTTATTTTTATTTTTATTGATTGAGTATTAATGCAGTCTGCCAAACTAAAGGGCAATAGTATTCATTCACACAATATGTACATAAGGAAAAAAAAAATATATATAAATAAAAATACAAGATAAGTAAAATAACAGATTAACCGAATAATAAAAAAATAAATAAAACACATTCACACCTATGTACAATATTTAGATTGGACCAAGGGAATCTGAATCAAGCTTTGTCCCCCAATTGTAGAAGCCAAAGCAGGACTCCAGGAAATCCCACTGCTTCTCTCCCAGCCGCGTCACTGGTATAATAAGCCAGTGGAGACTGATGTACCGCTATTAGTAATTAAACTGTTATTTTCCATTGCAAAATCATAGATAGGTCAAAAGTAGTCACACTAATTTTAAGCGGATAATGTTTGGATTCCACAAAGGAGAAAAATTATCAAATTATTAACTAACTTAATTTTCTATAAGTTTACTTGATGATTTTTCAGAATAAACGGACGTTGATACCTATTATTTAAATATGATGTCAGATCTAGAATTATTAAACAAGAGTAAATGTATTTAAGTTATATAAACATGTGTTTTATACATCCATGAAATATTTTTATATTTCACTTCTTCTTTCATATAAGTACAATGAAATAGTGTTTTAAACAATGCTATTACCTTGATTAGGTGGATTTTAAATACTTTTTCTTACAAACTTAAAAACAGTTAACATTTAGTTAGTAAATTTTTATTTAATTTCCGTTAAATAATATTAGTTTTCATAAATATTATTTATAATTTTTCGTCACTTTCCATTACTTTCTACTACTTTCTATATTAGATATTGTTTTTTCTAAAATTCTTCGCTTGCCAACGGTATATTATAGGCATACCTTCTGACTAGTATTGCTGGAAATTTTTTTTCACCATAAATAAACGTTTTTTTTTCTTCAATTTTCAATCATCAAATTGTTTCAAGAGTTGTATTTAGTATTTTTTCGTAACTCTTAATAATGAGATAAAGTTAATTATTTAAAATAAACCAAATTAAAGGTTCTTTAGAGGAAGGCATGTTGATCATTTAAGCTCTGTAAAGTAACATCAATAAACCTCAATATTAAAAGCCACTTTATTATAGAATACACCGAGGTTAATCAAAATCGTCAGAGCAGTTTTTGATAAAATTTTATAAATGTGTATAACCGTTGATATAAAATGATATATCTGGTTAGCCGATTTTAACGAAAAAGTTACCGTCACATCCAAGGTATACTCCTACATTAAATATGTAATATCAGTTTCGTATGACTTTTTCGTCTTTGAGCTTGACTTACCACATACATACGCTCACCACACACACAGACCATTTTGTGTGACTTGGTTATTTAGACTCAAGGGACCTCAAAACGTGCATTTCCGTTGAAAACTCAGATTAGAAAATTTTCACGATCGCAATATATATTCCATATATAGGTAAGTGAAAGTAAAAATAGCTAATTTATAATTTAAAAAATAATGTATCTAGAAAATAAAAATAACTCTAAATCCGACATTTTATTGCCGGTTGTAATAGCTACAACAGAATCAGCTGATCTCTGATCTCCAGAGAGGAAGTTGTGAAATATTACGTTCAGTGTCATAGTGTGATAGCCTACAACCGGAAATAGTGTGATGTCGGTCACGTAGCCTTCAGGATAGATGCAGGGGTATTTGACGGAAGTTTCAAAGAACAGTTAATGAAATAATGAGCAAGTCGAATAACGATAATTAGATAAAAAAATTATAATAATAATATGTAATCGATATTAACATCGCCCTACAACTATCGATAGTCGATATTATAAATATTTTTGAAATATGAATACCAATATTGATTCTCTAGCAGATAGGTGCATCAAAAATCATGTTATTTATCTGTTTAAATCAATTAATGGAAATATCAATGCTTCTAGCCTCCTTAGTGAAATTTTCATTCAACCAATTATGTCATCCATTCACCAATAGATCGGGTTACGTCTGTATATATTCTTTTTTGCAGATTATTGGATCTAGATTCATGATTTTATCGTTAAAATCAACAATGGCAAGCAGTCGATTTGAATGATCTAGATTCATTGAATAGAAGATATAGTACCTATATAGTATTTGGAAGTAAGACCACGAGAAAGGAAATAAACAAAGGAATAAGGAAAACCCTTGTCGAGATTAAGATGTTATCAAGCAAGCGAGGTGGGTAGTACGATAACTGGAGGCTTCTCTATACGAAGGTAGAGAAACCAGAATTAGTTACTGAGTATCGTATGGTATAGGAAAAATGGGCACATCAGGAAAGATGATGAGAGATTCCTAGATTGAAGGATTTTAAATACGGAAAATAAAATGCATAGAGATGGGAATAAAGATAGGTGATAAAGAGCGGGTTGGCCAAGCGCTTGTGCACAGCAACGGGTTATCCGGCAACCATATGATTATAAATTTATAAAATAATTACTTCGTATCCTGGTGCCGAGGGGACTTTTAACCTCTGGTATTAATCCCCCACCCTCACCCCATGGCTAGGGAAAATCCAGTGTAGCCTTAAAGAAGAGGAAGGGAAGAAAAAAAAAATATTGCATATTTATTAGTTGACCGTTGCATTATAAAATTAGGAGATGGTCCAGGGTGGCCGTCATCAATATGCTAAATAGTGGCAAAACTATTTTATTAAAAGCCAACATTTCGCTAGGAATTTCACTTAGAACTCCCGTTCTCAGTTCTACGTGAAACTCCTTGCTGAACACACCTTTCTGAAGAAGACCTGCAAAGTCGAGTCGAAACGTTGGCTTTTAATAAAATAGTTTTGCCACTATTTAACCTATTTATTTATGACCGCCACCCTGGACCATCTCCTTCCTTAAAAAAAATATACATATATAGGTTATAAGTGCCTCTATATCTTTCAATTTGTTGGTGGTTGTAGCAAATGATGATGAAGATCTACATGTGAATAAGAAAAAAACACAGTACATGACATATAATGGAAATATAAAAGATTTATCGTTTAAAAATTTTGAATTAGGAAGAACTCAAGAATTGAAATATCATAGTATCTACTTCGTGAAGGTAGATGAGTAACTCAAAATAGACAATTCTCCGAAAATGCAACATCATGGGAAAAATGATAAGATAAAGGCGGGTAATTGGAACCCTAAATTCTGTGTTGTGTTATGGATTCGAAACTTGGGCGATTATCACAAAGGAAGAGAAAACGTTATCATTAGAGATGGTATTGTGCCATTCTTAGCCTTGTTACCAACAAAACGTTTGGCTGATCCAAGAGCAAGAAAAACAATCCTGGACAACATAGAAAAAAACGTTTAAAACGATATGGATATTTACATATAATGCCAGAGGAGCGATGGCTAAAATCAATCTTCTAGTATTAACCAACAGAAAGACGAAAAAGAGGAAGCTATCTTGGAAGAGATGATTGCAGGAAGTGGAGGACGGCATGGCGGCCAGAGGTCTTCGAGAAAAAAGAGCCTGGAAAACCGAAAGATGTTTCTAAAACTTTTAGGCAAAACGACTCATTGTCGTTTAAAAAAAAATCGTTAGCAAAAAACATTATAATTAACATCTACAAATAAAGGATAACTAAGCATGACCATACTCACGTGTCTGGATCATCGTGGAGGTCGACCTTGGCCTCGATGGCGTTCCTGCTCCGGTCCTTCATGTCCTGCCACCTCCAGACGCTGAGGCTGGCCGATTCCGCGGCGGCCTCCGCGTTCGTGAAGCCCTCCACCATGATGTGGCCGATGGCCGACTTCTCCAGGGCGCGCACTCCAGAGCCGACAGCCACCCGGATACCCTCCTTGCACTCGTTCAACATCTCTATCTCGTTTAAGCCCAAAGACTCCGGGCCGCAGCAGGTCATCGCGATGGCGTAGAACTCGGTTCCCAAGTTGTGGAATACCCTGCAGTCTCCGGCTTTAAGGTCCGTCCTTTGAATCGGAAAGTGTTAACAGAAAGATTTTACGATTGTAGCGGTTCAACTTGTTAATATTAGGACCCTTTCGAAAAAACTTAATGTACGATCATTCTCCCTACTGTCAACTCCCATCAAATCGACTAGGTCATTGATCGATGGCCTGAGCTATCAAATTAGTGACTAGGTGAGTCAATTAATGATTAATCTACCAAAACATATTTTATGGAAACCGATAATTCTCCAGGCTACTCACCCTCAGTGTGGTGTCTGCACGAATACAATCCATTGAGACATGTATCGGTATACATCTCAAAAGCGTTCTCTTCTCTTTTTTTTCTATAGTGCTGATGACCTTATACAAAGAAGTGGTTGTTACAATAATAAATCACTCGTTACTTGCCTGTAACCGGAATCTTTCGTACAGGCAGAAGAGGAGACTGGCGAAGAACCAGTGGATGCTCTGCTTAGATCATTCTCTTCATATAGAACGGTCTCTACCAGGCCATATAGAAGATATGGGTGATGCGGTGGTGCAAGTCTTTGGAGGAACTATTCCTCTCAACCTCCTTTTGCGAGAAAATCAAAGATTAAGAGAGATGTTGTGACGATTTCACCGGAGAATCTACAAGAGATGATTAGTAAAGATCACAGAAGATGGAAGATGATATTTTAGAAGAATGAAAATTGAAGAATAAATAATAGAAGAAATCAGAGGGTGAACAAATACTCATTCGGGGTGGATGCTCGAGTGTATAAGCTTATTCAGGTGTGGTGGTCTCGTAGATAAGTTTTCATGAATAAGTGAAAAGTAATTTTTTTCTGGGACTAAAGTACTCTAAGAACAAGAACTGAGTTACTATATTTTTTCATTTTGTTTTTCTTTTCTCCTGTAGATCTTTTTCCGTCTAAACTCCATCTCTACTTATCTTGGGCTATTTCTTTCCATTTATCTGCACGCAGCTCTGTTGCATCTTTGTTGATTCTATCTATCCATCTGCTTTTTGGCCTTCCATGTGGTTTTTTGTCTTCTTTTGAGGCATCCGTTGTTGAGCAGAGGCTTCCAGATGGATTGCAACGAGCTACATGCCCGCCTATCTGAACCTCCGTGCTTTCATATCATTGATTGACCAGTTTCTGTAAGCAGCTCTTTATTGTTATCGATGTGTTTGCACTCTGATCTCAGATCGCTCCAGTTATCGTGCGGAGAATTTTTCTCTCAAATCAGTCAATACTTTTTTCTAGGGTACTGTTGTGTCCATGTCTCACAGGGATATATTAAAAGTGGCTCGATATTTTTCATAGGTGAATTAATATTACCACTCCTTTAGCTCATTTGGTCTGATCCAGTCGATTTGATGAGAGTTGAAACAAGGGTGATAGTTAGAAAAAGGGCGCTTGTATTTTAAGCTCTGAACTTCCCGTTACATTTATGCCTTATTTTATTAAAAATAATTTTTTACTTGAGGAGTATCTTTATGACAGATTCATCATTCCAGTACTTCTTTTAAACCATCTTGAAATTTAGCAATATAATTACGATCTTACACGGGCGGATCTACGGGAGGGGGAAGGGCTTTCGGACTGAAGCCCCCCCAAAATGATAAAATATAACCATGTTTTATCGAAAATAATATTAAAAAAGTAATTCTTAAAGTATTATTGATCGTGTAATTAAATTTAAAATGCCTTTAGGAATCACTTAAACACCATTTCATACAGGTAGTTAGTTTCTTTCTGAAGCCCCCCCTCAAAATTAAATCCTGGATCCGCTAGTGCGATCTTACATAAAGTCATAGATAATAATCACGTTATTATTCACGATTTTTTTTAGTGCTGATGTATCTTTTATTAATGCGTTACTTTTTCAGAAAAAAAAAAAAAAAACGGTTCTCATCCTGGTGATAAGTTTTAAAATATGATGAAAAAATTATATTTGTTTTCCATCGCGCTTATATTTTTTCTTTGACATATATTTTTACTATCATCATAATAGTATCATTATTATTATTATTATTAATATTTAATGATTCTTGCTACATTTTTACACACCTATTATCATTTATTTATTGAGTCTATACTTTTATGACTTAATTAGGGATAGTTAATTTAAGTGTTCCATATTGTAATTTGTGTATAAAATATTGGCAAACCGATGGGGTCATACCAATATAGACCAGTGGTATGTAAAAAGATCATTTATCAGCGGCTGTTAGATAATAGTTTCGAAATCAATTATTTCATTTCATCTCGCTACTATCTGCAGTTGGCTATCCTACTATCTTCTCTGCTTCCGTTCTTATCAAATTGGTACAGGCCGCCTTTTACAATTTTTTTTTATCCTTACGTATAACAAGTGTATACTTTATTTGTATATATATATATATATATATATATATATATATATATATATATATATATATAAAGAAAAGAATCCTTCAGATTATTGTCATAGTTTGCCATAGGCATATGGCTAACCGCATTTTTATATACAATCAGATTATATTGATACGAGGCCGTAATGGCTGAGATTGTTGAGGCGTTACCCGTTTCATCAGTCTTGAGTATAGCGCCACCGATAGGAATCTGGCCTGAGCAGGTTGAAATTTATTTCGTGGCGGTCTAACGGAATGAATCCTGACAATACCACTCCGGTTAGAATGGTTATCTGAACAGAACTTCCGTACGATTGTAGACAAACAGCAAAATTAAATTATATTTAGGCCGTGGTAGTCGAAAAATTGCGTAAAAGATTAACGTTAGCAATTTCGACGTGATTTTTTCACCTTTTTTGCCAGAATAGGTTAGTAACCTAAAAATGAACTTCTCACGTGCCGGAAAAAAAATCAATTTTAAGTTACAGTTAATTTTTATTAAATTGTGAAATGTTAAGCAAATCGTATTAAATAATAATTACATGTTATGTTAATGTAAAGGCAAATAAAGAAATACACGATAATACTTAAAATTAATAGTTTAATTGTAATTAATATTTAAAACAATGGGGAATTATCCCAAGGCAACAAGTTATGAAATTTAACAGTTTTAGAAAAAAAAATGTATTGCCTTTATTTCGAGAACTGAATAACGGTAAAACAAACAAAAAATAATAAAGACATATGTTGTATTTCATTTAAAAATAAAATCCCGTTTAATGTGGTATTAAACTATGATAGTGATTGAGGATGTCTTGTATTAATTATTTATTAAATTTTAAATTTGTCTATAATCGTCTTATCTTTTTATCTACATTGGGGAAATTACTGTGGTGTATATGTGTGCGATGTTGTATTGAGTTCCTGGCGTTTGAAAATTTTTTAATTTTTTTTTTTTAACTTGGGAAAATGTTTGTTATACGATGTATATAGTTTAATATGGTTTATTGTTGATAATTTGTAAGAGTATTGTTATGAAAAGGGAAAAAAAAGAAAAGATAGATATGTCAAATATATATATATATATATATATATATATATATATATATATATATATATATATATATATATATATATATATATAAAAAATAAAAAAATGTAATATACCAGTAATGTCCATATGGATTGATAAGTATGCTGTGTATGAAGCCACCCTATATAATAGCGCAGCGTTACTTTTAATAAAGTATTTCTCACTATAGAAAATTACATATTTAAACAGAACATTTATGACACATTAACTAAAATAAAAATGGACACGAACATAATTAGACACACCCCTGAATTAAATATATATTGTTGTAAAAAACATAGACCAATGATAAATAGATCCATGGCCAAAATATCAAGACCACATCCAAATGTAATTCAAAAATCTTTTTTAGAACTGGCAAAGGAATATAAATGCTTTCGTTTCTTAAACTTAGTTTATCCTATAGTTACTTAGTTTTATTCTAAGCATACCCTTTGAGGAGTTCCAATATCCGACCTCCGTTTTCCTGATCGAACTTGGCAGCAGCGGGTGTGAAGACATACTCTCCCTGATTACACCCTTCATACATACCCAAGAGTAAGCCCCTCTGAAAAAAAGGTACTTATTTTTTTTAAAATTTATTATTAAAATTAAAACTTCTATAGGGGCGTTTTGCACTTTTTTTGACCATCTAGGCACCAACACGCATAATCCATGAAAATTTCATGAAAATCAGCTGAAAGGTACTAGATGATATGCTCGTCATCGATTTGACTACAGACAGACACCGAACCAAATTTGATCCTTGATGTCTGAAACGTGAACCGCGATTGGAAATTTTCGATTCTGAGCACAATTTTTTTTTTTAACCTCTCGCACGAACACAATGCTCTCTTCCTACCTTCGGTAGTGAGGAAGCAAAACTGCATATGATTTACATTTAAAGTACTTTTCTATGATTCGACAAATTTTATTCGCGTTTTACATGAGATACAGTGGTGGAAAACCAACTACTATTCATGCATTAGGAAATTTAGTGAATAAAAAAAAAAAAATTATCGTTTCCTCAATCTGTTTATTTCTGATGAATGATGAATGCACCTATTGCGAAACTTCTTGTTGTCTAGAGAGATACCAAAGACAGATATAACATGTTCACAATATGTAAAGATAATTACGTTTCGCGTCCTTCACCTATGATGTATGTGTTTTTTGTTTTTTTTTCTGAGAGATTGAATGGGATGTTTTGTTCTAATGGGCGAGATTAGAAGACTATGTTAGGCGGATGTAAAAACAGAAGAAAAATTGTTTTTATCTAAATGTATTCCAGTCCGATGATATAAATAATAAAAATAATTATCCGAGTTGTATAACTGTCAAAGCTTAGTATGGGAAGGCCCATTGATAACTTCCATTGATATCTCGATATACAACTCATTCATAAATTGACAACCTATCTCATTGACAATACAATACTAAGAGAGAGATGGTAAGCTAATAGACAATATTGTGACAATGTGAGCAATAAATAGGCAGGCCATGGCCACCGCTCTTTCTGCTACTGATAACTCTTATCACTCATCCATTAATGGAATCCATTCATTCAAGAAACCACGTTCAGGCTCTTTTTTACATAAGGACAGAATGTGCTTTGGATTTTCAAATCTTGTAAAAGGTTAAAATTTTTCGAATCTTTTTTAAGCTTCCACACCAATACAAAATTTCGCTACCTTCAGTATTTAGTACAGGACAGGAGGCCAATGATAGGCAGATTGGGCTTTAAATGCAAATAATAATCTTCCTTGTTGATTTAAAGGTTCCAGTTTTTTCTAGATTGAGGAACAATGCCCTCTATTAGCAACTGAATGAACAAAGTTTCCAAAAGGAATTTTTAAAATGCCTATCATTGTTGTTTCTATAGTGCTCTTGAGATTAATGTTTCATACCTTCCTACTAATAGTTTTGCTAAGATAATTTAACCTTGTTATTCACTACCAGAAATAATTACATATATTCATTAAATAAGATCGAAACCCTGCCATCAAATCTATTGCTATCCTTCCGATACCGATAAAATTTAAATTTATCATTAAATTTAAGGATCAACACTTTAAAAAGGATAATAATAGAAAATAAAATTATTTAGTGAATATCTGTTAAATGGATTACTGAATTTCATTAAATAACCTTCAAAAATAATTAAATTGTAATAAATTATTGTCTGGAAACCTTTTATTTCATGCACTTACTTAGGAAATGTTTGTCTTTTTTGGCTTAGACCACCGTAATTATTATAGTTAAAAACTTCTCCGTTAGACATTTAGAATCTCTAGAATCTCTATTTTCTATTTGACATTTTAGAATTTTAAAAATATTCAGTTATGCAGGAATAAACTCCATTAAAAAAAACAACACTTTTTTGCACTAGTGATAGACGTCCCGAAATTCAATTGTTCTAGTAATGGACAGGAGTTTGGTACCAGTAATAGACATACCTCAGAAAAATTCTAAAATTTTTATTCAACTATAATGATAACGATTAACATAAGATATCATAAATATTAAACTTAATATTAGCAAAACTGTTAGTAGGAAGGTATGAAACACACTGATCTCAAGAGCACTATAGAAACAACAATGATAAGCATTTAAAAAAAAATTTTTTTTTATTATTTTGAAATTTACAACTGTACATTTAAAATACATTCAGCAAATGTGGTATAGATAAATACATGACATGACAAGGCTTGTAGAGAATCTACCCAGTGGTATCACTCTAATAAAGTTTCTAAATAAGGAGATCACGAGGCCGTCTTCTATTCAGACGATCGAGGAGGTAGCAAGGTTAAAAAAAGAGGGTTGGGATGATTATGAAGTTTATTTTGGAAGGATAGGTATCTGGATTGGTCCAAATCGGAAACATATGGAAAATTCAGGTCATTATGGATTATTTTATTTGTTACAAAGTAGGGAGCATTAAGGATTTTACGGAGGATTTTGGATTGTAAAGATTGGATACGAGGAGAATTCCATGGTTTAGTGGAGCCCCAAAGCTCAACTCGGTAAGTCCAAATAGGTCTTATTATGGTCATGTATATGAGTCTTTTGTAATTAATTGAAAGGTTAGAGCGTTTGTCTAGTAAGTGCTGAAGTAGTCAGAAACGTCGATAGGCATTTTAAAATTTCCTTTTTGGAATCTTTGTTCTGTTCAGTTGCTAATAGAGGGCATTGTTCTTCAATTTAGAAAAAACTGGACCCTTTAAATCAACAAGGAAGCTTATTATTTACATTTAAAGTCCAACTTGTCCTTCAATGACCCCCCCCCCCTTCTGTCCACAACTGGTGCGTTTACTCTACTGTATGTAGAGAAATTTTGCATTGGTATAGGAGCTTAAGTATTTTTTCTAAGATTCGAATATTTTTACTTGCAATTTTTTACAAGATATAGAGAGACGGAAACAACTATTAATCACGTATTAGGAAATTTAGTAAATAAAAAAAAAATAAGGTGTGTGTTTTAGATCTAATCTATTTCTATTCTTCCGATACAAATAAAAAACATTAAATTTAAGTAGCAGTATAATTAAAAATATAACAATGTGCAACCTCACAACCACACTTATAATTTAATCTGACTTTGGGCTACATGCAAAAAGCATGGTTGGATAAAGTAAAGATGTTTTAAAATCTAAAATAATTTATGTCTGTTGATCTTACCTTGATATTTCTGTATTTGAATTAAAAAGCAACCTCATATTATGTAGTGGTACTGTTAATTTACAAATTAACTGGTAGTGTTAATTACAAATTAAAAAAAATGGCTTAATTCATAGAATATTAAATTAAATAGGAACAATACCACCTTCATAGAGTGTAGAATTACATCAAAATATAAAATTAATGGTGTTTATCTTATAGATGGCTTACCGGGCCGAAACGTAGCTATGTAAATCGAAATAAATATGGTGAAGAAATAAACACAGCCTTATTTTATAATATTAAATTTAAGGCTAACATTTTTATTTCAAATTATATCAAACTAGGACGCTAAATTGATAAGATTTGGCAGCAACGGTGAACAGTACCAGCGAAATAGAGCCTTAAGATGACACTAAGATACTTAACTCTTGGTTTCAATTATCGATGTATGTGCATTAATCGATATGACAACATACTAGTATCAAATGAACTGTATGATAAAAAATTACTCTTTATCAGATTCTTTTTCTTTTATGACGTTTTTTAAAAAAACCTTTAACGGTGTATTAATTTTGATACTATAACAAATATATTTATTTCTTGTACAAATAAGATCACTGCTATTAATGGTTTTCAAAAACAGAACTTAGCATGTACACAGAATAGGTTATGTCAAAATCATAATTTAGAATGAGTACGTATTCAGTTAAATGTCGCGTTTTTACTATCTATTAAAAACTTTAAATTTTTTATTGATAAACACTTGTGATAAAATATATATATATGAAAAAAAATAACAGTTGTTTTACCTTGATATCTTTAGAATCACACAAGGAAGAACATTTTCTGACAACCCTTGGGTATTGCTGGAGAACCCGATTCGTACACAACATGATTTAGTATCTCTTGAGTTGTATCACAATGGAATTTTGATAGTGATTTTACGTTTTAAAAATGGATTTTTTTAATTGATCGAAAACTTTTGGCTTTTGTCATACCAGCACATGGCTTTGTGTGAAGTAACTAACCAATTTATCATCTGTTAGGATGTCACTTTGTAGTTTTATCATTTAACGAACACGATAATAACAATACAGTAATAGTTTCTTCAATAGCAACATTTAAAATTTATATAGTAAACGTAATTATCAGACTAGTACTTGCTTGAAAAAATATTTGAAATTAATTCTCACATATGACTTTATTTTGAAATCTATTCTGATAATTATTATGAATATTTAATACTGCTGACAGTTCTATCAAAATGCTTTTATAAAAACGAACATTAACGAACGCTTCGAATTTTTGAAACATTTTTAAATTTTAACGAAATTTTTTTATGCATACAAGAATGATACATTTTTTTTTTCCCTGTTGGCATTACAGACTATGTAGACCCTTTGCTGCCTTAACGATCCTGCTCCATCTCTGCCTATCTTGGGCTGTTTCTTTCCAGTTATTTTCACGCAGTTTCATTGCATCTTTGTTGATTCTATCTATTCATCTGCCTTTTGCCCTTCCACGTGGTTTGTTTGGCGTAAATTGAGGCATTTATTGTCCCGTAGAGGCATCCAGATTGATTGCCCCGCCCATCTTAACCTCTATGCCTTCATATCACGGGATATTGATCGACCAGTTTCTTTAAGCAGTTCTTTATTGGTTTTTCTTCTCCGCGTGTTAGTACTCTAGAATGATACATTAGAAGTATTATTTCTATCCATATAAGATGTACAGAAAATTGTAGAAATAGAGAACTCCGAACCATGCCTTGCTACTCTTATGTGAAAGACAAGGGCTCAAAGAGTTTCTCTGCTAGCCGCATAACTAACTGTATGAAAGCCAGTGGAGACTGAGTGAGGGCGCTTAACCCGCATACGGTCAGGACTTGAGTGGAGAAGCTGGCCACTCCCTGAACTGCAGTAGAATATTCACAAAAGATCTCGGGACCATTGCCGTTTCATCCTTAGTGGGGGATTATATGGATGGTTGGAGCTGGAAAGGGATTAGGATGATGGATAAGATTTTTATGGAAGTTTAAGAATCTGGATGGAATTACATCAAGGACAAGTGGGATGTTGAGATCATGATGTAAGGTTTTGATTGTGACGTAGTATGGAGCATTGACTATTGTTCGAAAGACTTTGGACTGAACGGATTGGATACGTTTGATGTTAGAAGATTTAGCTGCCCCCCACAGTTCGAATACATACGTCCAGATGGGTTTTATTATGGTGTTGTAGATAAGTAGGTTGTTTTCAATGGAAAAATGCGAGTTTTTGTTTAATAGTCTATATAGTTGTCCAAATAATCGGTTAAGCTTTTGTCTTTTGAATCTGTTATGAAGGTTCCATGTTAGTCTCTTGTCCAAAAGGAAGCCCAGATACCGGACTGTGTCTGAGAAGGGAAGATATATAGAGTTAACAATACTTTTCAACTAGAATTTGGAGACATAAGACTGTTTGGTTTAGAATTTTTCCAAATTATAACCTTACATTTATTTTCTGTCTCTTGATTAGTTTATTATTAATTTATATTACTACAGTAATAGTATTATATTTATAGTTAGCGTAAGATTTGTAATTGGTGCTCCGAGATAAGCATGTCTCTCACCACTACATTGAGTTAAAGTGGCTCTTCCCCTCCATTCGAAGACAATATTTCCTAGGTACATTCCTCTATCAAATCATCAACAATCAACGTTCCTCTTACGCCTACAACCTTCTCCAATTCAAGTCCTCAGTCCACCCCCTTTCCATAAGATCTCGACCTTCCGACCCTTACATTCCTTCTCACAGATCTGCCTCGTTCCAAAACTCCTTTATTGCTCGCTCTATTAGTTTCTGGAATTTCCTTCCTATCAAAATTCGGCATTCTCCCTCCCTATCTACATTTAAAACCCTCCTACACCAATTCCTGTCCCAAAAATATTATTCTTAATAATGTATTTACATATAACTCATCACTTAAATACTTACTATCAGATTCGATTTTCTTTTTCTTTTTTTTCAACAGAAACATTGAGTTTACTGCTAAGAAGAATGTAATGTTTTATTATTTTTTTTTTCTAAAAGTTTATATTTATATTTTACCACTGTACATAGTTTTAAGTGTCTTGGCATGGTTTCAAGAGTTTTGTATATAGTTTTTTTATATTTTGTATATAGTATGTTTAACTAATATTTATTTACTTATTTCTCTTTATTTTTACTTTTTATATTTTTTTTTTATTTAGGGGAGATATAATATTTTAATTTTGTACTTTTTTTTTATTCTAAAAGAACTTCATCCCAGAATAAAATTATTTTCTATTCTATTCGTATATTGCATATACGAATAAACATATTTCGCTGATCTTTATACGACGAATGCTTCAGAAAGAAAGAGAGATTTTGCTAGCTTATACTTGTTAATTATTTTTTTAAGATATAGAAATTTCGAGAATTATCCAAATTTTTTTAATAAAACTCCAAGTTGATCCCGACCGAGGTGATCAATTCACTCCAATATCCCAATATCTTCAGCCCCGGTCCACTTTAGACTGTTCAAGTCCTTTCTTCCGATCGGCTTCACTCCACCAAATCTTCTTTTGGCTTCACGGCCTTTTGGATCTCTCTCGCACAACATTCGCTTGGTCGATGAGGTCGAAATTTCGCCTCGTCAACTTCTAAGCTAGCTGATTCGTTGTTTTGCGACTATTTCGATGGATATCGTGAGACATGATAAATCTTTATTGAAGTGAAAACTTCTTTAAGCGCGATTTGCACGGAAAGTCTGCTGAAGTCGACTGATTGAGGTTTATTTTTGCATATCGATTAAAATATCTCAAATAAACCTCCCTACAAAGTCTAGCATATACAGTGCTGAATTATAAGGTGTCGTTGAAGCTTTCAAAATAGCCAACAGAAAATATAACAATGCAAAAGTCGTAATTCTAACTGATTCCCCTTCCGTATGCAAATCACTGAAAAACATACATCGACAACATATTTCATCGTATCAAATAATAATATAAAAGAAGGAATTCATCATTCAATAAATAACAAATTTAAGATTCAATGAGCTCCAGGTCAAGTGGGTTTGTATGGAAATGAACGAGTTGATATAAAAGCGATATGGAGTTCTAAAAGGCCGGAAAATGCGAAACTGCCTTTACAGGAAATTTGTAGATGGGAGAAAAAACACTTAATTAGTGAATGGCAAGATAGGCATGCATGGGAGTCAACTTCGGAAGGTAAAGATCATTTCACTATCCAACCTAACATCTCTCTACGCACATGGTTTTCGAACACTTGTGTTTATTTAAGCTGAAGAGAAATAGTCTTACAAAATTAAGAATTAACCATGGTCGAACAAATCGTGGCTTGTTGAAAAATTTGAAAAAAATGATAAATTTTCGACATGCAACTCCATGGAGGACCCATTGCACATTATTCTAAAATGCAGCAGAAATAATAAATACCGGAAGAAATACACCCTCATCCAAAACAATAGCCCTTTCCTCCAATGCCTGGCTAATCTAGGTAGAGATACCATTAAGGCATTGCGCACATTTATTGAAGAATCCAAAATAGATTTTTAAAAATAAATAAATAATAATAACGTACATCCATAATTCACTTTTTTACTCTTTTGAAAATTAATCGAAAACTATACTTTCCTCGGAATATTCGTTCTTTTGAACATTCATTTGAAAGATAATTATGTGATTTCTTAAAACATTGAAAGTTATAGTGATTTTAATTTGTCTGAAATCAGTAAGAAAGTTGTGTGACCGATTTTTTAAATGAACACTTCTTTAGGTGCGATTAGCACTTTTTTGTGGAGAGTAAATTAGATTGAGCTGTCAGATTTCCGATGTGTAACGCTCGGGTAAAGTCGGCTGAAGTCGATTGATTGAGGTTTATTTTTGCATATCGATTAAAACATCTCAAAAATTAAAAATCGGACCTGTATATTGTTAGCGAGGGAAATGTTTATAATTTCATCCTTTTTGTAATAATCTATTATTCAAAATTGTATTTCAACAGACGCCGTCTTAGAAAGGTGAAAAGAAAAAAAATTGTGTCGAAAACAAAATGATAACGAGTTTTATTGAAGATACGGATTAAAATATCTCAGAAACTAAAAATCGGACCTGCATACAGTTAGCGAGGGAAATGTTTATAATTTCATCCTTTTTGTAATAAGCTATTATTCAAAATTTTATCTTAACATGACGTCGTGTTAGATAGGCGAAAGGAGAAAAAAATGTGTTGAAAAGAAATTAAAATGGATTTTATGAAAAATATGGATTAAGATATCACAGGAACTAAAAATCGGACCTGTATACTGGAGACGAGAAAATTGTTTAGAATTTCATCCTCTTTATAATGAGCTATTATTTATAATTTATATTTCATATTATTAATCTCGGCTTCTTATTTTCACTTTTATCGTGTGGTCTAAAGCATATACCTTGTTTTTTTATTTACTTCTTTTAGGTTCTTGGTAAAGAAGAAAATTTATTGAACATGATATATCGACCTAAATTATTACACAATCGTTTATTATTTCCAAACAATTTAACATAAAACCTAACATTACTTTTCATGTAACATAAAGGAAAATAAATATAAGATGATTTCTAGTATTGGGCTAAAATTTGGATAGAATTCAATAAAATTGACCCTACATTATTTTTACAAAAATATTTAACTTTTCTCCAACTTTGAACCAAATCGAACTAGTCGTGTCTGAAATATTGGCATGTCTACAAAAATGCGTTTGCGCGTGTGCAAGCGGAAGTGGTGGTTGGAAATTAATAAAATTTATTAAAAACACCGACCCGCACAATTCCTGAAAATTTCATGAAAATCGGATAAACGGTAGTAGGTGATATGCCCTTTACATCGATTTGACAACAGATAGACATACAGCGAACTAAATTTGCTCCTTTATGTATGAAAACGCGAGTGGAAATTTTCGATTCTGAGCCCAAATTTTTTTTTAACCTCTCGCACCAATACAATGCTTCCCTATTTTCGGTAGTGAGGAAGCAAAAAATGATCTATTATTTTTTTGACGAAAGAATGGTGCATTAGTCACTTCCACTGACCTGTGTATGAAATATATAGAAAAAGACGGTACTATGATTGTGAAAAAATTCGAATTTGAGAATTCAATGGAAATGTACAGGTCCCCTGAGTTCAAATTGCAAAGTTTCGCAAAATTTGGTTATGTTATAAAGT